TTTCTTCAAAATTGGCTTAGAGCCCATTACCACTTTTCAAATTTACATTAAAGAATGTGCGTACTCGAAAAACAAAGATAACAATGATAGTGGAAACAAAATTCAAAATAATCAAGAATTTTCCTCAAAATAAATTACAAAAATTATCTTCTATTGAACATTCAAGAAATTTGTTAAAACAAGCTTTTGGGAAACTGGCAATGTGTTGTTGGTTCACTATGACCGGGAAAACCATACATGAGGAATTGTTAGGGACCTAAGTACATGTACCTGTTGCAATGACCCTGGCCCTAAAAATGATGCGTGTGCCTGTGATCTGAAATGTTTTTGTTATGATTTATAAGCAAAGCTTCAATTAATCAGCTGTAGAAGCAATCTGGATTGTAAAAACCATTCAAGTTTTTGTTCACTGCAGCTATCTACTGATGAGCAAAATACGAATGCCTTGTTTGATTCAGGAGAAACCTATTCGGGAAGCAATGATACTAGGGAAGCCGAGAATATAGTAAACAGTCATATGGCATAAAGAAGTTTCAGTATGCAGGAATTCACAATTGAAAATAGCTGGAAACTTCTCATAAGACCACACATAGGCACCTTGGCGAGCAAAGGGAGTGCTCTGCCGATTAGGGTTAGTTGGTCACTGATATATATTTAGACCCAGCTACAACACGTAATACTTGAATAAAGCCACTCATTATAAGTTTGTTGTATATACAAATCAAAGAGATAATATGCAAAAATAAAGAAAGATATATGGCTCTTACCTTCAGATAGATACTGATGTAAGACACATTTTCTTCAGGTTAAATAAATCTATAAACCTTGAATTGAGGACTTATGTTCTCCAGTTTGTTTCACTAGAAAAAGCCTAAAATAAATTAAGAAACCAGCACGAAAGGGAACCTAACTCATCTGCTTGGCTATCAGCTTGAACACAAACAAGTGCACGGTTTGCTACTGGCTGCTAGTTTTTCACAAAACCTTCTTTTTAGTCCCCATTTTCCGAAACCCTCTTAGGCTTATCAGAGGATCAAGCTGCAAAAACAGGACAAGGGATTCTAGGAATTTACCATAAACTGCTGTTATCTTCCTACCCCCAAAAACATTTGTCTAATATTAACTCATCCATCATGATGATACTAATACCAATAATCACTCTTCACTCTCGCTCTTGCATCTTTGGCTCTCTTTACACTATACGATGCTTGCACATTCAAGCTAAACAACCTGAAAAATCCTTAAGAACAAGAGAATATGAAAACATACGGCTCGGAGCTATTGTTTTCCCTACAGACATCTATACTAATCAAACTACATCCATCATTCAGAGAGGCCAAGATCTAAATTTCTCAACATGTCACACAGCAATCAACAAATGTTTGATACTCGGTTTCCATATAACAAATGCTTTCTTCATTGAATTCAATTCCATAAACCAAGCATCATCATTTCCAACAATTCCCTTTCCATCTCATCCATCGTAAACACAGAACAATTCGTTTCCTTATCGAAATTCCAATCGAAAGGACCATAATGTGTTACCCTTTTGTGCCCTAAGATTCGAACCAGAATCCAATTTCCAACTCATTTCTTGGCCTTAGAGAATCTAAGACACCGATATTTCTCACCACTCACAGTAATTTCCAAAGCTCCATCTTGATTATCCTGGTTCGATGCAGTCCCCATGAGAACACTCTTCTCCTTCTCCAGATTCTCCCTCTCCATCTTCAACCTCGCTTCCTGTCTAGCGATCTCCGTCTGCAAAAAATTCAAAACAAAATCAATATCCCCACAGATTTCTCCAAATTTCCCAAAAAAACCCTAAAAACAAAACACACCTCGCGACGAGATAGCTCGGCTTTCCAAGCGGCTTCTCGTTCAGCGACTTCGCGCTCTCGTTCTTCGATATAACTCTGCATCTCCCTCTCTTTCATAATCCGATCTTGTATATCAGCATCAAGTGCTTGCTTAAGCTCTTCCACAAACTTATCAACCACTAATTTAATCCTCAGAGACATCGTTCGGAAAATTTTCTAAATCTCCTCACACTAAACGCTTCTACACATAAGTAACAATCACTTTCTTTCCTAGAATCGCTTCCGATTTTCCGTCTTCGAATCGCGACGGCGTTTCACCGGCGGCGAGAATATGCTTGATTCCAATTCTTTCTCGTGGAGTTTGCGTGAGACCTGAAGAGGGACAGAGGCATTCACGACCTTTTGTTTTTACTGTTTCTTTTCTTCTAATCCTCTTTTCTCTTAAGAGAGGGAAAAATAATAGTGGAAACTAAATGGGCTTTGAATATATGATTTGGGCTTGTAATTGGACCTGCATAACGTCACACTGTCGCAGAGGATTTGTGGATTTGTTTTTTTCTCTTTTCGCAAAGGGTGATTACTACGTGTAGAAAGCTGAATTTGGCAATAATCTATATATGCATTTAAAAAAAGAAAAATTAATTCTATGACTGATTTAGAATTATTTCTCTGATTTAATACTTGAGTTATTTCTCTGATTGGTATTATGAGTTACCATTGATTTAGTTTGAGTAAATGGTCTAATTCAATGATAACTCCAAAATGTACCAATCATGTGTCAAACAAAATTTTTATAATTTGAATTTGAATTTGAATTAGAATGAGTTATAATTGATTTACTATCCCTTTCCTATTAAAAGAGAAGTAGATTTATTAAGGTTGCTTATTTGTTTTAATTTTATTAGTTCAAAAAGTTGACATGGCTTATTT